GGATGTTGCCACACAAAGTGACGGAATATAGGGATTTGGTAGGTTTCCATTCTAAAGGCTTTTTAATAAATATGGCAACATTTTGTGACGTTTCATTGTTGCTGACGCGTAGTGAAGTGCTTTGAGATTCATGTGAAGGCAACAGAACTTACGTAACGCATACGGTTTTCTTTATAGTTTTTCATTTCTTGATGCGTCCTTAATGTGTCGGAATATACCGCGTTTACCCTAACTGCTACCATCTGCACGTTCTGACCTATCTGCACACTGCGCAGTAAGCCGCAGTTAATCAAGATCTATGCTCTTTAGCTCAGATATCGCTCAAATGTGCAGTCTTTGTGCAGGCTTCAAAACTGCTCAGTTTTCCCCTTAACTGAGCATGTGGACTGGCCTTTAGAGACTTAGAGTAACTGGTCACTAATGCATAGTGGCAAACCAGAGCTTTTTTTTTTAATTGGTTCAGATTTATTTTCCTCAATAACTCAAGATTTAAACTAATTTCTTAAGTATGATAATGCTGGATGCTGGTATCAATGATGATGATACTTTACTGGTCTACTTATAGCCAGTTATAGGACTCAAAAATGAACCTGAGAGGCTGAGGGAGCGTCTAAAAAGCTCTCTGCTTTCAGTGCTTTGTCTTTTGTTCACTATACAGCAATCCCTTGATTAGCATGTTTGAATACCGCGGTTTTGAAAAAATTTGCTACCTACCCTTAATCTACGCGGTGCCAGTTTTGATTAGCGCGACTTTTTTTTCATAACGCATCATTTTCCCTCCTCTAGCCAGAGGTGTTACGTTATTTTTAATTACCAACTACGTTGTATTTACTCAAATCTTGGCATTTAGATGCATATAATCAAAATGATATTGACTTGAATACTTCTATAGTACCAATCTTACTAATTTAAGTGTATCTCTGTAAGAATGTGTGATGATAATGGAACAAGTATCATTTTATATTATATATATTATAGTATGCTATGCACTCTCTATTATTGAATAAAATACTTCAGTTGCAAGCATGTGTGGCCACGATAATACAAGTGTCCCTGTATTGTACTGTATCATTGACTATTGTGCTTGTATTGCAAGCATGTGTGGTCACGGCAATACAAGTGTCCCTGTATTATACTGTGTTATTGACTATTGTGCTTGTATTGCAAGCATGTGTGGTCACGGCAATACAAGTGTCCCTGTATTGTACTGTATTATTGACTATTGTGCTTGAATTGCAAGCATGTGTGGCCACGGCAATACAAGTATCCATGTATTGTCTTGTATTGTACAGTACTATTGACTACGTATTGTGCTTGTTTTGCCAGCATGTGTGGCCACGGCAATACAAGTATCCCTGTATTGTCTTGTATTGTACAGTACTATTGACTACGTATTGTGCTTGTGTTGCCAGCATGTGTGNGGCCCGCGCCGAGTGCTGCGCGGCGCGGAATCGATGACCGTGATTTGCACGAACGCCTGCGTGAAAAAAATATAATTAGATTGATTTACGCGAGAAATTTCCCCGTTTATATACATCTTCCTGAGTGTGGTAAAAAGTAGTATCATGGATACCAGTATTATCTTACATAAGAAATTGGTTTAAATCTTGAGTTAATGAGGAAATTAAAAATGAACTGATTCTAAAAAATCTGGTTTGCCACTATGGTCTGAGGCTCTGAGCACAAATTGAATTGGAAAACTGTGCTAAGTTGCTAAGTGCTACCATCTGCATGTTCTGACTTATCTGCGCACTGCGCAGTTAATCGACATCTAGGTATGCTCTTTAGCTTGGATATCGCTCAACTGGGCAGTCTTCCTGCAGGCTTCAAAACTGCTCAGTTTTCCCATCCACACACAACGTTTTATCCTCAACTATCTGATTTGTGCAGACATCTCGTTGTGTATATTGTAAAACTGAGCATGTGGACCAGCCGGGCACCAGCCTTTAGAGACTTAGAGTAACTGGTCAGTAATCATGCATAGTGATAGTGGCAAATCAGAGCTTTTTTTGGAATCAGTTCAATTTTATTTTCCTTAATACCTCAAGATTTAAACCAATTTCTTAAGTATGATAATGCTGGTATGTGGTATCCATGATTATGATACTTGACTGGTCTACCAAGGTGCCATGGTCAGGTCTCAGGAAGATGTGCCAGGTGTGCGGGAATTTATATTGTCATTTCAACGACCTGTGCGGTGCACCGTACTATGCCGTTAGAAAAATGCGCCATGCGCCCTACTTTTAGAAAGCTAAAATAGTTTAAATATGGATGCGCGGCAATGCAAATTACGTAATCACACTGACTGTACACACAATTGACACAAACGTGTATTCGCATTGTGTTGTGGTTGGATATGAGTTAACTAGATTGCTAATGCGTCAACTCAGGACTCAGGTTCTAAGAGTCAGCACAGTGCTGAATATTCATTCATAGATCATAATTCAATCAGACATCATGAGACATGAATTACAGAACTAAAGAAGGCAACATGGCTTTAGATGTGCCATCGGTGCCTTCTAATGAATGACTGGACAGTCTGAACTGGTTGCGGCAAGTAGGGTTCCTAGGGTATGAACCTGTACGTCAACAGTACGAACCTGCATGCCAATGTTGGGACTACATTCCTGACATTCTCCCGGCCGGCAAAATTGACACGATCAATACCTAATAATAATGCGCGTAAATGGACTATACAAATTAGGTCAATATGGCATAATTACAGAGCGTAATTATACTATGGTATGTGATACAAAATATGAATATATATATATTTGCAAGATAAGTCAATGGTCTGTCATTTATTTTTGCTTCATCTGAGCAATTATGGTTTCCAAATCTGGGTGCATTATGTTATGTCATGTGTACTTTGATTGTGCAAAAATTATAACTATCATGAAAATTTTTATGTAGGAATTTAAAAGTAAAGAAAATAGCCAAAAAGTTCACCATTTCTTATAAGAGAAAACGTTTCGGAGTCCAGCTCCATCGTCAGTTCAAAACCTAGAACACAGGTACAAACAATTAGTAGCCTAAAATTCACCATCAAACAACTAGATGTGTATAAGAGACAGCTTCGCGGTCNAGCGCGGACGGAATACGCCTCACCACGTGCCTAATATCCAGGGTGCAGAGGGTGGATGCAGCGTCGCCAATATATGGGTTTTTAAGCCCTAAGCGTCGCCGGGTAATTTTAAGATGCGTTGCCGGGTAAGTTTTAATGAAAAGCCATTAACACTGAGTAATGAAAAACTATTTACCAAGCCACAAACTTATTTTCAAGGTTGCATGCACATGTTACCCCAAATAACTTATTTACCCAAACAGTCCGATTGTACAGCAAGTGTCAACTGAACATGTGATAATGCAGTCTGACAGCTCTAATGTGACCGCAACTACGTAATTGTGAACTTGATGTTTACTTTTTTTTGGCGGGAACTCATCACAACTGATTTCCGGACAAGCTTCACTGCATCCTGATCCATCCAACGTACCAGAAACCTTACTTTTTTCTAAATAGTTGGCCGAAGGCTGACAAATATATTAAACGCAAGAATTTCAATCTAAATGTGTTGGCAAGATCTTCTGAAGGCGTAAATTTTGCTACTGAAGCGTCGCCAAAGATCTTGCAATATTCATCCACTCTCTGCACAGTGGCTGGTCTACTTATAGGACTCAAAAATGAACCTGAGAGAGTCTAAAAAGCTCTCTGCTTTGTCACTATGCAGTAATGTACTAATCTTAGGAGTCATAACTGGCAATTGTCACCATCATCAATGTCACTGGCATTGTCACCTTACTCACAGACATGCTATGCTAATTGAACAATACTCAGGACTTCTCCTTGACTTGTCTAAAAAGGCTGGTTGAGGTAATGCCAGTATCAATTGGGTTTTTGTGCCAGCGTGCACTTCACAAGTTCTGCTGTTAAAGTGGAGTTTGTGAGTTACCACAGTAAATAATGGTGCAGTATGACCATATGACCAGGGCTGGAAAAGTCCTATTTTTTTCTGAAATATTGCGGCTCTCATATCATATAATTTCAGTAGGTACCGGTATGAAATTCACAGCTTGAATGTCATAAATTTTTGTTTGATTGGAAAAAATGGCAGTTTGCACTTTGCAAACATATCATTTCATAAAATTTTCCACTTTCGCAATCTGCATTACTTTACCTTTCTGGCCAAAATATCTTGCAAAACATAACCATTCTAATGTAAACAAGTCAACCTGAACATTTCACTGAAGATCCCACATAGTTGCGGTCACTTCAGACTGCATTTACGCATGTTCAGCTTACAGTAAAGACATGTTATTGTAGCTGTTTGACTGTTTTAGGATAAAATTAGAGATATGGGGTAACGTGTGCATGAACTTTGTAAATAAATTGGTGCCTTGTAAGTAGCTTTTCATGGCCAAGATATGGAATTAACGGCTTGAAAAAATTGAATCACTGCTTGAAGACATGGAATCATGGCTGTCGAATCCATGAAACCATGGCTTGAAAAATTCAGCTGCGAAATAGATATATTCCAGGCCTGTGTAGGACTGTATGAGCCTATACAGTAATGGTATCAATGGGCTTTTATTTATGGGCCAGGGGTTTTGGTTGGGGAATGAATCCATTTGAGTGACTCACTTTTCTTTGATAAATATAATCCAAGTTGAATATGGAATGTCCAGCCTTAGGTCTTCTTCCAATGAATTGTGAGATGTGGATCATTCCAAGTGATTATATCTAGCATCTCAAATAATCATGTATAGAACAGTTATGGTCTACTTTGGCCTTCTAATTATTTATAAAGAAGGTCAGAAATGACCTTCTAATTATTTATAAAGTAGTTTAAATTATCTTGTTTCAAATAATTTTGAATAAATTCTGTTTCAGAGTAATTTGTTTGTCACTTAGTTAGGGCTAGGCTTCCACTATAAACTATGGAAGATGTAGCACCTTACACTGAGATAGATCGTCTTGATCTACGAATGTATTCTGATGAAGAAATTGAAAAAATATCTGTTATGCAAGTAACATCAGAAGAATCCATAAACAACATGGGACATTGTTGTAAAGGGGGTCTATATGACCAAAGAATGGGTGAGTGTTGAGTTCTATTTAAACTGGAAATTAGGTATGTAAGTAAAATAAATATATGATGCATAGATCAATATATAAACAATGCCTTCCACGTGATTATTATTTTTTAAAACAATTTTCAAGCTTAGCAGCAGCAAAATACAACACCATTTCCATGCTGCTTACCACCCAGATTGCTGTTATTTCCTGAGCTATGAATGAAATTTTAAAATGTTATCTATTTTCCTATTAGTTACGTACTACGGTAGGTATTGCATATCGTTTCTGCTAATTTCAACATGCAATTAGAGTTGAATTGTAGTTTTGCCACTCAGGTGTGTGATATTATTTGGGAAAATCTATTGGTTAGGTTCATGTGTTCATTTTAATTTCAAAATTCTCAAGTCCTGGTATTGGCATCTAATGCTTGTCCAAGAATAATTTTTTTCTTTAGCTTTACCATATTTTTGCCAATTTTAGAGGAATATTCAATAGCAGGTGACAAGAAAGTCTTCTTTGTAGTAGTTTTTTTTTATCTTTTTGACATGGTCTTACAGTTATCTGCTGACTGATGGCTCTGTTACAATCATATAAAACTTTTTTTTTTTAATAAAATCTATTTAAAGATTACTATTGCATAATGATTTACTTTATTGCAGGTGTGATGATGAGGATTTCCACTGGCGTGTGTGAAACATGTCACCTCAATGCAGAGAAATGTATGGGTCACTGTGGCCATATTGACATGCCTGTACCTGTCTACAATCCTGTCTTCTTGACTCATCTCTACAAGCTTCTTCGTATTGTGTGCTTTGGCTGTGGCTCAATTCCAGCAAATTGTGAGTGAACAGTTAGGTGTTGTAGTAGCTAACTGAAAGTGCAGATTACGGTATATATGCTTAATTTGAAAGTCATTACAGCTATGGATGTACTCCATTGTTTACGTACTACCATTCATTACAGCTGTGGATGTACTCCATTGTTTATGTCCTACCATTCATTACAGCTGTGGATGTACTCCATTGTTTACGTACTACCATTCATTACAGCCATGGATGTACTGCAACTACAGTACCAACTGAAGCTGCTGTCTGAGGGCTACAGCCATGAAGCTTTGGGTGTGTGCCAGATCGTGTCAGAAGTCAGGGAGGATGAGGTAAGTGATTATCAGTTGTTTTATGACACAATTGATCTTTTGTATTGAAATGTTCAAATTAAACTCCCATATCATTTCTCCGTATAATTTTTTATAGTGTGTATTGTTACAGGGAAGTTAGAATTTTTGAATGATATTGCTGTAGGGTGTCATGCAAGCATCAAAGTTCAAGTTTATAGCTCTAAAATCTGCAACAGTTGTTGAAATTTCTACAAGTGATCATTACTATTAGTTATATTCATTAAATTTGTAATACTTTAAAAATGGATTCTTTCTCACATAATGCCTCATTTACTTTATCTTTAATAAATATTATGAAATGTAAAGTTTTGCGTAGTGCCATATTTACTTCCATCTATACTGATGAAATTTCTCTTATTTTCTCACTGGTTCATGGACTTGCCTGAAAATTGGATTTTGTAAAAAATTATGCTTGCGTCTGAAAAAAATTAACAAAAATTGCTATGCATTTAATGGCTAGGAATAAATTTTATCATAGGGCAGCCTCTCTAACTTATTCAATCAAGTTTTCAGTTATATGTAAAGATTTAAAGTTGAAAATAATGTTGATTCAAACACAATGAATGATATTTAGTGCCATATCTCACCTTTTTATTGTAATCCATTCATGATGACGATGTACATGAATTTTTAGCTTAGTCTATGGATTATCTTGATATATCTGCTTCATTGCAGATACAAGTTGACGCAGATGGGAAGGAAACTAAAGCCACCGGTGCTGCTGTAACTATGCTCATGTCTCTCAAGGCTAAACTTGATGCTTACTACGAGTCTGTTTCTGCTAGTAAGTACACTTTACCTTATGTATCTGAGATATCTTTGTCTTAATGTTGCTAGATTGCTTGAATTGCAGATTCACTAGAAATTTCAGAGCGAAGAAAATTCCGCAAANGTACAGTACTATTGTTTGAGCTTGTGTTACAAGCATGTGTGGTCACGACTACACAAGTATCCTTGTGTGTGCAGGAGCAGCGGATGAAGGATCACGCGTGTACACATCCACAGTTCGGTCCGTCAGAGACGAGTGCGTCAAATCCTTTATATCATCACTAAAACCAAGACGCTTCTGCCCAAACTGCAAATACCCTTCCTTTTCTGTCATCTACAGGATGAGTCAGATGATTGTTGCGCCTAAGTGAGTAATAATGAGCATTTCACATGTTTCATTAAACCCCACAGATAGTTCTTAAGTATTTGCAGGCGCAGTAGTTCACACAATGGCTTCAATTTAATAAAGGAGTTCATTATACAGAGTTAAGAACATTCCAGCCAAGTTAGATTGTACTGTTGAATCAACGGTAAAGTGTGTAATTGATCACCGGTATCGATACATGCCAATATAGAGTGATGTATTAATTACCGTATCAATGTATGTCAATATAAAGTGTTCAATTAATCACCATATCAATGCATGTCACTATCCACCGTATCCAAGCATGCCTGTATGAAGTGTTCAATTACCGTAATCACCGTATCCAAGCATGCCCGTATAAAGCATTCATGAAGCGTTCAATTAATCACCGTATCCAAGCATGCCCGTATAAAGCATTCAATTAATCACCGTATCCATGCATGCCCGTATAAAGCATTCTATTAATCACCGTATCCATGCATGCCCGTATGAAGCATTCAATTAATCACCGTATTTCAGGGCTACACATGCAGGTAAAGGCAAGAGGGATGACGCTGTGGTGTCCGGTATCCTAGACTTGGACCTCTCACGTCAGTCCGTCCTGACTCCGTTACAGGTAAATGTAGTTGTATTTTTAATGGGTATTTTATAGAATTCAATTCCTAAATTCATTATATTTAGCCTGTTTTTATCAGATTCAGTATAATATATCGTAAAATATTAATATTTGTAATGTATAAAATTCATTATATTTGCAGTCTTGCAGATTGGCCCAGCATTGTCTGAGATCGTTTATCTGTGAAATTTTAGAATCTAACATCCTATAAATGATTATATTAATTTCTGCTGATTAAAGAAATATCAGTTCAATCTCAAATTTAACAAAAATTGTAAAAATACCATTTGATTCGTGTTTAAGACTGCTGTAATAAAATAGCTTGTTTCTTTAAAATTGAATTTACCATGTTATACCTATACCATGTTAGAAACCAAATTCTAATTTTTTTCCAATCCTTTCTGCCATTTTTTCAAAACTGGCCGAAAAGGATTGAGCAGAAAATTAATTTAGCAAACTGTAACCTTATTATTAACAGTATTTGGGATGACGATATTCTTGAATTGACCATTACTAATTCCAGGCAATGTCGGGCTAACCTCCTAGTAATGTATAAATTCAATGTTTAATCCTCTCAGAATTTTAGCCAACTGAGATTAGCTATGTTTTGAGCAGACCTAAAGTCTATAATGTGTTCTTTTTAAAGAGCGCTAATAGTACCTGCCTGACTCGGATCGTAGTCTTATATGGAGAGCTCGAATGTCTGCCGCCATTGTGATAGCTACTGAATGATTCATAATATATTTGAAGCAGCGGTTTAAATGCGGGTATTGATTGCTTCCTTTTGGTACTAACTCAAAAAAACGGGGTGAAGCAGAGATGATGTTTAAATTTAGTTGCCTGTATAAATGATGAAGGTGTAAAATGTTTAATGTCTATGGTTTAATTAGATAGTGAGACGAAAAGCGTGACAGCCACTAAACTAAACTTTTCATATAGTATAGGAAGACTTTTTTAATTTATTAATAAAATCCATTATTCCATTCAATATAATTAATTTTCATTAATGTTCACGCATTCCAGGCTCGGCAGCTGCTACGGGAAGCCTGGAAGAGCGACAGCATGACGCTGTCACAAATATTCCCCGTATTGAACAATTCCCCCACAAAGCACCCCACGGACCTGTTCTTCATCTCCAAGCTGCTGGTTATCCCCCCCAAGTACAGGCCTCTGGTCCGCATGGGGGACCTCTTCTTGGAACACGACAGTGTCGTTCTTCTTAAGGTATATTCTTTTAGCTATTTGTTTTAAAGTATATTTTCCTCTTCTTGGAACACGATAGTGTGGTTCTCCTTAAGGTATATTCTTTATACTATTTGTTTTAAAGTATATTTTCTATGCTAATCCCATATATTATTGTAAGTTCTCTTTAAGGTATATTCTTTTAGCTATTCGTTTTAAAGTATACTCTCCTGTCCTTGGAACACGATAGTGTCGTTCTCCTTAATTAAGGTATATTCTTTATATATTCTTTTTGAAGTATATTTTCCTCTTCTTGGAACACGACAGTGTCGTTCTTCTTAAGGTATATTCTTTTAGCTATTCGTTTTAAAGTATATTTTCCTCTTCTTGGAACACGACAGTGTCATTTTTCTTAAGGTATATTCTTTAGCTATTCGTTTAAAGCATGTTTTCTATGGTAATTCCATATATTGTTGTAAAGTTCTCTTTAAGGTATATTTCAAAGTTCTTATTAAGACATTCCATACCTATATTCCTGGTATGGAATGTCTTAATAAGAACTTTACATACCTATATTCCTGTAAAGTGCTTGACTAGGATCGTTCGAAGTATTTTTCGAAGTTCATATTAAGGCATTAGGTACAAAGTCGTAGTATTTTATATAGGTAGATAGGCATAAGATTTAATTGATTTGCCGCGTTATAGTGCCGCGTTTTTGGTTAGTGGTTCTTGGCTCGATGCTGTCGCTGAAGAATTTATCTGCTTATATTATCTCGTTGGATTAGACGAGATACTACATTTATCACTTGCTACTCATCACTTGGCACCCAACACTCAGAACTCACGGTGTGTTGTTGTCCAACACTCAGTACCCAACACTCAAAACTCACGGTGTGTTGTTGTCCAACACTCAGCACTCAACACTCAGAACTCACGGTGTGTTGTTGTTCAACACTCAGTACTCAACACTCAGAACTCACGGTGTGTTGTTGTCCAACACTCAGCACTCAACACTCAGAACTCACGGTATGTTGTTGTTCAACACTCAGTACTCACGGTATGTTGTTGTTCAACACTCAGTACTCACGGTATGTTGTTGTTCAACACTCAGCCCTTAACACTCAGAACTCACGGTATGTTGTTGTAGGCAGTGATGGTAGCAGGTAGAAATGCCTAGTATGTCTAAAAAGTTGCTTATTACTTGAGGTTACCTGCCTACATCCACAAACCTGGCCAAAAAAATTTTTGTCATTAGACAGAGCTTATTTCCCAAACAGGGTTAACTATTTTGTGACCCTTCTTTACATAGGTTTTCTTTAAAAATTAACCAAAAATTCATTATTTGCAGAAGAGGGTTGCCACAAACACTGAAATGACAGGCAATGATTGTTCTAATATATTCTTTTGTCAAATTAAATTCAGTGCAATTAGAGTGCACGCCATGGGCTGGTCCTTTCTTACCCCATGAAGGCTGCAATCCTGTCTTACCCCATTTGACTATATATAGGAGATTTGGATTTTGATTCAACAGTGACACATAAAATATTGGTCTGCAAAAAGGGAAGAAAGAATGAGATGGAGAGCACTGATGAACAAAAATAAGTATAGTCAGATCGGGTAAGACAGGACCGAAATCACTAACAGGCATGTAGCATCTATACCACGAATAACTAAAAAACCCTAAACTTATCACAAGGTGTAGTTATGCAATACGCCTCTAAGCTACAACTCAGACATTTTGCATCTAACACAGTTTTCTGTACAGATTAAAAAAAGTGAGCTGGTCCCGTCTTACCCCATTGGGGTAAGATGGGATCAGGCTGGGGTAAGAAAGGACCAACAGGTAATTCTTATGTTACAAGGTTTTTTAGTAAAAATATAAATCTGATATTCAATATTATCCATCTAGAAACACATTATTTGATTACACAGCCACTTGTTACTGTTTTGTGTTGCAGGAAGTCAACTCTAATATCAGTCACATTGGAGTTTTTGTCACAAGAAAACTTTGTTCACCCATTAATGACGAGAATTATTTTCTGAATTTTTTTTCGGTTCCTTGTGAGAATATTATCATTTGTGATGGTAATAAGCAAAAAGTATGTTCATATATTTAATTATCGTTGTATGTGAAAAATTATAGCTTGGTTCCATATGGAACCGCTCGGCATTAACATAACGTTTCTTCAAAGAACACTTTTTCCAATAGTAAATCAATCAAGGTTGTTCATAATGGATAATACGTAATAGTATACGTATTCATAATGGACAATACTGATGATAAACCAATCATGGCAGAATACAATTCAATTTTTAGCATAGAATGCTTCCATTCATTAAAAATGAATAGGAAGGTTGCCCATTTTACGAATGTTTGTGGGTGCGTTGTCAACATTGTTTACGAAGCACTGCATTTGCAGTGCTTCTGACGTCTCTTTGCTGGCCGATGTTGTTGATTGTTGTATTGCACTTCATCAAGGATCGAAGTAGAAGGGTGCACTATAGACCCTGATTTTTTTACTTAGGGTCTCCTGCATTATTGCATTTCCTATCTGATATTTTTGAAAATTTATTGCAATAGCCATTCTTTTTTTTCAAAAGTTTTTTGAGAAGCCAAATGAAACCAGAATATATATCACTTATAATATGTTGGCTTGGGACCAATTGTATCGTGTTTATGGGACCAATCCATGTTCCAGCCCATGAATAAGTTTCTTTTTCTATTAGATCCGCCGATTGGCTTCAATATCAGAAAAATATCATCTGATTTATCTGCTGCCCAAAGTTTATAACTAAATCTCACGGGCTAGCCACGTATGTGTCGTAGTATAATGTGGCCATGCCGACCACAGTTGACTTTCTTTTCTGTTGATAGTCATTGTTTTCACATTTGGCGATTACTGTTGCTACAATGACTATTCTCAATAGGCGAGCATAATTGCTAGTGGCTGCGTCATCTGAGTTATCTGAATCTCAGTATGTTTCCTTTGTTGCTGCTTCTGTGAAAGGTCTGTCTCTTATACACATCTAGATGTGTATAAGAGACAGGTCAAAAGCTCCCTGAATATCAATATATACTATCAAACTGTGCTTCCCCTACATAGTTGCCTGCCTAATAGTATGTGTTAGCACAGCCAAAATGTCAATGGTGCTCCTGCAACGTCGGTATCCAGTTTGGGTGGGGGGTAGTAAGTGCTTGCTTTCAATGTAGTGTTCAATTCTTCTTTGAATAATTCTCTCCATAAGTTTTCCTATGCAAGACAGCAGAGTGATAGGTCTGTAAGAGTTGACTTGAGTTGGGTCCTTTCCAGGCTTGAGTATGGGGCAGATGACTCCCTGCTTCCACATAGTTGGCACCACTNTTTTTTTTTCTTGCAGATTCTTTCAGATTATTAGATACTTAGATTGTTACTATATGATAGTTAGGCGTAAACCAAAAACTGTTTAGGTAAGGGGCTAAATGGACCAGTTTCCAGTGCTCCTATAAGAAGTAACAAGAAGAAGAACCCAATCAGCTGTGTTTTTTCTGACTCGTTAAATGTTAATGATGTTAAGGTCGTTATTCGTTACTCGCTCGTTAGACGGTTAAAAAAGGCCGGTCCACACGCTCAATTTTACACAACAATTTGTCTGCGCAGTTTTAAGTCGGAATAAAATCGTTGCAATTTTTAGCGCGTCCACACGGTGCCGACTTATCTGTGTAGTTTGCTAAGTTTTGCGCGATCCCGCCATGCCATAGAAGAGCGAGAACAAAGAGGCAGTAGGTATTTTCAATTTTGGGCAATTTTGTCATTGTGCCTTGTTAAAAAAAGATTAAATTTTTTCCAAATTATTTACGGTAAATACTCCTCCAATTATTAAGTTTTTACAGTTGTTTCCCTGATTACGCTTTCATAAATTTCTTTGAATTTTTCTACAAGCTCTCATGACATGTCAGATGTCACAATCACATTGTCACATGTCACTATGATGTCAATGGTCATGACTCATGAACTCATGATGATCATGATGTCATCATTGTCATGACATATATATCTCCCTTTTTTGCCTGTTACTATAGTCCTTGGATTTTACTTGCCAAATGGATGCAAGAAAAACTTGTATAGAGCAATAAATTCCTGAGAACATTATCAATGGTCTGCCATTGTTGCCAAATGCCAACTTGCCAGAATAATTTAAACTGAGCACAAATCGAATTGGAAAACTGTGCTAACTGGTGAGTAGGGTAAACGCAGTATATTCCGACATCGTAGGTAATTCCGTCACCTCTCCAGCTTTTCCTTTATATTAAGCTTTCTTTTAGTTCCATGCGTTCATTAATGGTTGAAATGGTGACGTCATACATTTGCGTGTCGAAATACTGCAAAAACACTAGGTCTTGCTTGGCCATCTAGTGGGAAAATATTGAGATCCAAAGAGAGACAATGCATGCCACAGGGCACCGAGTACAGGTGAGGGGCACCGAGTACAGGTGAGGGGCACCGAGTACAGGTGAGGGGCACCGAGTACAGGAGAGGGGCACCGTGTCTAGTTGATTTGAAACGTCACGTGAAGGCAGGAATGTGGTGAAAGAGTGAAAGTATGTTAGTAAATTCTGATCATCTTGTTTGGGAAAGATTGATTATCTACAACTTATTCTCTGTATTTATTTGTATCTACGACTTACGAACCGTGATTCTAGCTGCATAATTCTGAATTAATGCTCGAGCTCGGCAATGAAACTACCAACTTAATTATACTATAAATATTTTATATAGTGTTTTATGCGTATGGTACCACTCTATACTGCGTGTCGGATGAATGACGCTAACCGGTACAGTGTTTCAGACGAATGATACTTGGTAATATGATCATATGAATGATGCTCAGTACAATGTTACGGACGAATGATACTCAGTAATATGATACGTTGTACAATGTATTACATTTCATTGCTCTTATGTACATGCATTAATGATCCCGTTATTATGTGCAGGCGCTACGGACGCACAGCGAGCAGACAAAGTGTGGCAGCTGCTGCAGGGCAGCGTCGACAACATGCTGGACTCCACCACCAACGACGAGGTGCATCACGTCGCCAAGGGCATCAAGCAGGTGAGGTACTGTGCAATGGCAGTAGCACTCGATATGAGGGGAGCTAGTCGTGGGTTCGAGCCTCGGGAACCGCAGTTAATTTCTCGGTGTCGCTTGTGGGCGGCGCTTGGTAGCCGTTGAAGGTGGTGCTTCAGGCAGACCTTTTGTTGGGGTCCCTAAACGAACTCTGGGTACTTGTTACTTGTGGGGATCTTGGGGGGTATAACGTCGCCAAGTGCATCGTCGCCATTGATCAGCCTTTAATTATGATTCCGAAAATTTATTCCCTTGCCCTTGGTCAGCCTTCAATTATAATGCAAAGACTTCTCTTGCCCTTGGTTTGCCTTCATTTATATTACAAACAGTTCCCTTGCCCTTGGTCAGCCTTCAATTATAATACAAAGACTTCCCTTGCCCTTGGTCAGCCTTTAATTATAATACAAACAGTTCCCTTGCCCTTGGTCAGCCTTCAATTATAATTCGAAGACTTCCCTTGCCCTTGGTCAGCCTTCAATTATAATACAAAGACTTCCCTTGCCCTTGGTCAGCCTTTAATTATAATACAAAGACTTCCCTTGCCCTTGGTCAGCCTTCAATTATAATACAAAGACTTGCCTTTGGCCAGATCATAGAGAAGAAGGAAGGCCTCTTCCGCTCCAACCTGATGGGTAAGCGCGTGAACTTCTCGGCGCGCTCGGTGCTGGCGCCTGACCCTGCCATCGCCGTGGACGAGGTCGGCGTGCCGCTGGACTTTGCGCAGCACCTGCACTTCCCTGTCGAGGTCACGCCCTGGAACGCCGCCGCCCTCAGGAAACTCGTGAGATTACAGGGCACTTTGGGGGTAATAGATGGGGTGCTAAGACTGGTGTGAGGTCAGAAGACTGGTGTGAGGTCAGATGACTGGTGTGAGGTTAGGTGACTGGTGTGAGGTCAGATGACTGGTGTGAGGTCAGGTGACTGGTGTGAGGTCAGATGACTGGTGTGAGGTCAGATGACTGGTGTGAGGTCAGATGACTGGTGTGAGGTCAGGTGACTGGTGTGAGGTCAGATGACTGGTGTGAGATCAGATGACTGGTGTGAGGTCAGATGACTTGTGTGAGGTCAGATGACTGGTGTGAGGTCAGATGGTTGGTGTGAGGTCAGACTGAGTTCAATGAAATATAATAGTTTTTCCCAGATCACTTAGTCGTAATTTTCTTATTTTTTGCACCTAATGCCGGAATAAAGGAGAAGGATCCTAAGGCAGTTAATTTGTGCCTTTTTTACAAAATGATTGAAAATTTATTAAAAAATGTATAATTTGTGTGTGACGGTGTGAAAAATGTATGGTTATTGTACGACGCTCTCATGGCAGAAAATGCCATTCAAGATTGAAATGGAGTTCGTTATTCAAAACTGCACGTATCGTATCGGAGTTTGATGACAAAAATTATTTTCAGTCCTGTTCATGAAGTAAAAATAATATCTATATATAATAATAATATAATATGAAATAAAAATAAATATCTAATAAAGTCTTGATAAGGAAGTAAAAATAATATCGAAATGTAATAACTATAATAAACAAATCTAATCATGATTTTACTGTAAACTCTGAGCCTGTGTACTAATAAAGTCTTATTTACGAAGTGAAAATAATATCGAAATGTAATACGGTACCTAACTAACTACGTATAATAAATAAATCTAATCATGATTTAACTGTAAACTTTAAGCATGTATAAGCATCACGTGTAAATCCATCTAATATATATAATAAACAAATCTAATCATGATTTAACTGTTAACTTCAAGCATGTATAAACATGACGTGTATGTGCAGGTGATCAACGGACCACACGTGTACCCCGGAGCGCACATGATCGAGTCAGAGGACTCTAATAAATATAATGAACAAATCTAATAACGATATCATGATTTAACTGTAAATTCTGAGCATGTATAAACATGACGTGTATGTGCAGGTGATCAACGGACCACACGTGTACCCCGGAGCGCACATGATCGAGTCAGAGGACGGACGCATCACGCACCTGCGCGGCCTGACGGAGGAACAACGAACCGCCTTCGCTAAGAAGCTCCTCACGCCCCCTGACAGCACCATCGCCACCACACGGCCCTGCAAGATCGTCTACAGGCAGATAAATCTTTATTATTATTAGTTTTATAGTAAATACTTATTAGCCAAGAAAATTCACCATATCGATATTGAAAACGGTTTCAAGATAGAGAAACGTTTTCAATATCGATATGGTGAATTTTCTTGGCGTTTTCTTTGCTTTTAAATTCCTTGAAATTCATGTATTGTTGTATTTATGATTGTTTGTTGCACGCAGACACCTCATGGACTGTGACCTTTCTCACTTGAAAAGTTGCCTTAAAATTCATGTATTATTGTATTTAAAATTGCTTCTTGCATGCAGACACCTCATGGACTGTGACCGTTCTCATTTGAAAAGTTACCTTAAAATTCTTCTATTATTATATTTATAATTGTTTGTTGCATGCAGACACCTCATGGACGGCGATCTGGTGCTCATGAACCGACAGCCCACGCTTCACAGACCCAGCATTCAGGCACACAAGTCTCGCGTCATGAAGGGCGTACGTGTCCTACGCATGCCGTACGCAAACTGCAAAGCTTACAACGCTGATTTCGACGGCGACGAAATGAACCTTCATTTCCCGCAGAACTGGATGGCTCAGAGCGAGTGTGCCACGTTAATCACGACACATAATCAGTACTTGACCCCTAAGGATGGCGCTCCTTTGGCAGGACTTGTACAGGATTGTGTAGTAGCAGGAGTCCTGCTGTCCGTGAGAGGTAAAATGTTCGAGAGGGAAGACTATATTCAGCTTGTTAATGTCGCCATGCAAGACTACAATTGTCCTATCAACATTTTACCGCCTGCTATCCTGAAGCCTAAGAAACTTTGGAGCGGAAAACAGATCATTTCTACGGTCCTGCAGAATCTTATTCCGCAGAAGAACGCATTGCCAACGTTCCGCTTCAAGACGTCTGTCAAAGCTGAGGTCTGTTAATTTGTTTTAATCCCTTGTTGATTTTGATTTATTTTTATTTAATTCCTTGTTGATTTTGATTTATTTGACTTCTTGTTGATTTTGATTCATTTAATTCCCTGTTGATTTTGATTTGATTCTTTGTTGATTTTGATTTATTTAATTCCTTGTTGATTTTGATTTATTTGATTCCTTGTTGATTTTTATTTATTTGAATCTTTGTTGATTTTGATTTATTTGATTCCATGTTGATTTTGATGTAGGTACTTGATTCGTTGTCAATTTTCATTTATTTGATTCCTTGTTGATTTCGATTTATTTGATTCCTTGTTGATTTTGATTTATTTAATTCCTTATTGATTTTTATTTATTTGATTCTTTTTTGATTTTGATTTGTTTAATCCCTCTCCTACTTAAAACGCCAGTCAAAGTTAAAGTGAGTTTGTTTTAATTAATTTGATCTCTGATAGTTTTCAGCTTGGAGAGTCAAAGAAAATCTCTTACTTCCCAATACTTAATTACTTAATTTTATTAAAATGTTTGCATTCCTTTTACTATATCTTGTTACTCTTCATGAAGTAATCACCGCCAATCAATTCTCGATTTATCATTTCTTTTTTGTAAACAATAGTTTTACTAATATTAAATTGTTTCAATAATAATTGAAAATAAGTTTGTTTGTCGTCTTGCAGGTATGACTACAATCGTTACACTAACATTAAAAAGTCTCGCTGATAATTCAACATTATCTTTTTATCATCGCACAGATATGAAACCAATTGTATTAATACAAATTAAATTGTAATAATACAGCACTAATATAAATAATAATAATTAAATTGTACTAATAATTCTAATATAATACTAATATAAATAGGTATTATTAATTAAATTGTACAAATAATATTTGCTTATATTATCAGTGTGCTTATATCGCAAGTTCACAAGGAATTTAAAAGCAAAGAAAACTCCAAGCAAATAACGCCTACGTCGAAACGGTGAATTTGCTTGGTGATTTCTTTGCTTTTAAATTCCTTGTTAATAATAATTACAATAAATTGTACTAATAATATTAATGTAATACTAATATAAATATTAATAAT